AATCTCTCTATGTCTCTCTCTCCACTTGCTTCGGAGTCCTGAGCCACCAACCTTGTAAGAAGGCTGGCTACACCATAGCCGCCATATTGGAGAGACTACAGGGAGACAGAGAGAGCTGAGCAGCCGGAGCTGCTCCAGCCCACAGCTGTAGAGTCTCCCAGCCCAGGCAGCAGACTTGCGAGAGAGTGAGTCTTCAGGTGAGTCCAGCCCCAGAGCCACCTAACTGAGCCCAGCTGAACCCTGGATCCACAACACCTAACAGTATATGATTGTTGTTGTTTCAGGCCAACGCATTTTGGGGTGATCTGTTATAAAGTGTAGGTAACTGGATAGGAGGTCAGGCAGGACATATGGATGTAGAAGCTCTAGGTAGGTACATAAGGAGCGGGGAGCATCTGGAAGTTCTCTTCCAATTGCTGCAATATTCCCAGTGAAGTAGGAAGCAAGGCTATCAGCTAAGAGTGAGGAGACAGCAGGAGATGCTGGGAGTTTGAAGAGAGAGGAGAAGGTGGAGAGAGTCCTCCGGGAGGGTCAGAGAGCAACTGGATGAGGAAGTCGAGTGTGATTACCTGGTGGCAATAAGGAACCCCCCCAAAACCCCTCAACTTTCTGTACTTAATTTGCATTCCCCTTCCTGTCTTTATCATATTCTTTGCATAGCTATTATCTGGTTAGATTTAATTACTTTCAGGAAAATTCTTCACAAAAGGAAATTCACCTTGAGATGGGAATATCTGAGGCCTGGGAACACTTATTGTTATCCTCAGTTAAGAGAGAATTTGCTCCTCTCCTTCCTCCACTCATTTATCCAACCAACCAGTCAGAAGGCCAACATACTGGGCACCGCCTGTGGGCTGCCATGTGCCAGCCTTCGGGGACAACAGCTCCGTGCACTCAGCTGCTCCTCTGATTTATTTTCAAGATCACGGAGCAGAAAAAAGCCAAGTTGTCTGAGTTGAAAGGAAAGTGCTGGACTATGCATTTCTGGTGGAGGGAGTTGCTTGAGCCAAGCTGTGGAAGCCTGTAAATAGGCTGGGTTGAACCAGAGGTGATGGCTGGCTAGAGAATATGAGAAAGGAACACGGAAGAGGCAAGGAGTGGGGGAGCAATTGTAGGAAACCCTTGAATTTGAATTCACTAATCTTTTGCCATGTTGATATGGCACTGAATTATTTAATAACGAGATGGTGTTCTGTCTGTCACCCTCAGTGCTAACCATGCACTGTGAATAATAAGGGAAGTTACTTAAGTGCTGTTTGTTTTATAGACTGAGCCTCCACTGGGAATTTCCCTAATAGATTACACAAATATCCCCTTTTTGCAAATTTTGAAATATTTCTAATTATAGACTAATCTCTGTAAAATATAATTACAATGAATGTCAAAGCCTCATTATATAACAAGAAAAAATTTTAAGTACAAGGACATAACCCGCTTACTTTAAAAAAGAGAGAGAAACTTTATCATTTACTTCCTACCATTTTGGTGTAACAGACTTAGTTTTCAAGATAAATGAATAAAATGATATAAAGTAGCCTTACATAAATTAGGAACTCAACAACTATTATGTGTCACAACAGGCACCAAAGACTATAGGTATTAAATCTTATTTGACCTTACACCCTATCCTCTTGTTTTCCATAAACCACGATCAGCACACTTTTCCTGTAAATATTTTAAGTTTTGCAGGCCAGACAGTCTGTGTCACAACTACTCAACCCTTGGAGTAGTTTGCCACTGTAGCGCAAAAGCAGTTATAGACAATATGTAAACAAACACACAAGGAATAAAATTGTGGACACTAAAATTTGATTTTAATACAACTTTTACATGTCAAGAAAAAGCATTCTTCCTTTGACTTTTTCAATCATTTAAAGACATAAAAAACATCCTTAGCTTGTGAGCCATACATAACCAGGTGGCAGGCTGGATATGGCCCCCAGCCATAATTTGCCACCCCAGTCCTAAACTTTGGTGGGCTTCTGAGATATAAGAGATTCTTGGGGGTCTAAAGACACTGGTTGGTTAATCAGTAATGATCATTTTTAATTTCAGCACGATCTTTCAAATTTTTAATCAGATTTGATTAATTCAATGAGTGGATTCGTATTATCCCTTTGGTTAGCCATGAAGAAATTTGCTATAGTTAAGAGCAGAGTAATGTTTTTATTTTTAAAATTACTTAACTGTTACATTTTGGCATGTTTCCTTCTAACACTAATCTCCCCGTCCCTGCATCTGCTTCACATAGTGAGGAACATTTCAGTACTAGCTGGAGCTTTGTCAGGGGGAAGATTTGATTTTAAATTCTTATTCTGCCACATAAGAGCTCTCTGGCTTTGGTGAATCACTTAACCTCACGAGCCTCTGATTTCTCAGCTATAAAATGGTTAGAATACAAGGCTCTTTTGTGAAACTATTAAGAAAAATAGGTAACACATTTATTCATGTCAACCATTACCATAGATTAACCAACATTTAGTGAGCATCTAGCGTGTGCATTAAAAACATCAGGAATATACAATACTTAGCAATTTCTAGCTCGCTTTTTTTATTTACCATTATATCACGAGTATTTTCTTATCTCATTCAGTATTCTTTTAAAAAACATGGTTTGATGGTTACATAATATTCCATTTATTGGGTGTACCACAGTTGGTTAACCCTTCCCCAGCACTGGACATGAGATATTCTCTTTGCCATGCTGCATAGACTATCTTTGTAAATAGTTTGCCTTATCCTTGATCATTTCTTTAAGAAGAGTTTCTAGAAGTGGAGTTTCCATAACAAAGGATCTGATCTATTAATGAGGTTGAATAATTTCCCTGTGCTTTTTGGGTTTTTGTGTTTTTTCTTTTGAAAATTGTTTTCATGTCTTTTCTTATAAAAGATATACCAATTTCTTCTTTTTCTCCTTAGGTAGTAATCTATCATATTCAAAGCCCACATTTACTGAGTGTCTCCTGGCTAAGAGTGTGAGGCAGCCTTGGTTTAGGTAGAGCAGAGGGGTCTTCGGCACAGCTTCCAGAGCCAGGCTGCCTAGCCAAGACCACTCAAGCTCTTTAACCTCTTGAAGCCCCAGCTCCCTTATCTGTGCCTCACAAGGCTGCTTGGAGGCAGAAACATGATCATAGACATCAAGCCGTTAGCATGATGGTTGACTTGTAGTAAGTGGTCAATAAATGTGAGCTCTCTTTATTATTATCAATCCTATCACGCCATCCTTCAAGGGGCAAAGGCAGATGTGGGCATGGGTTTGCATAAAAATAGACATCCGAGTTTCTAGGAAATGAAACTACAAGCAGTTGTTTCCTTTGTAAGATAATACCCCCTGGGTTAACTCTTCATTAGACCTTAGACACAAAATGAGCCCTGGCACTAAAATTCAGATCTAGAAGCTCGAGTGGGTTCCTGGTGAATGTGCTCCATTGTGTCTAATTTGGGTGAAAAGATAACTTCAGAAAGAGGCCACTGATGTCTTTTTCTGATTAATTTTTGGCATACCTAATTACTCACACCAGTTGCAAAGGACTTGAACATATATTCTGTTATTTGAGCCTCACGATGGCCCTGCAAGGCAACCGCAGGGGTATTATAATGCTCATTTTATGGTTAGAGAAATTGAGTTTCAGAGAGCTTGGGTGATAGGCCCAAGGTCCCCTAGCTAGTGACTAAGAGAACCAGCACTGACAAAGACTCTCTCCTTGGCTAAACTTTAGTTAGGCTCCTCTAAGCCACTAGGCCTTGACCTTTGGGCTTCTGTGTTCATCTTCGCAGTTTTAGCAAGAATCCCTTGCCCTTGATATCTGATCACCTTTGATAGCTGATCAGATTCCTCACCCCACCCTCCCCCAGGTGATGTCTCATCTCCCTGGCCTGTTTTTAGTAAGAATCCTGTCAAGTCAGTCTATCTAGAATCCCCGCCCCCCACCCCTGATGTTTCCTCTTAGTGATTTTCCATCCACTGACCTCACTCTGCTCCTTGGCTATATAGCCCCACTTGTCCATGTTGTATTTGGAACTGAACCCAGTTCCACACTGAGGTCTCTTTTCCCCTATTACAATAGTTCCTGAACACAATCTGTTTTTACAGCTTTAACTACTGTCCAGCTCTGGTTTTCTTTGACAGCATGTGAGCCCAGATTGCCGACAGTACTAGTCCCATGCGTTCCCCTGTATACATACTCATTCAGATGACACCATATGCTGGAAGAAGCACAAAGTGACTTTCAGTGATTTGTATGGCTTTAAAGCCAAAAATGTAGGACGAAAAAATTAGACCCATAGAAGCTATTTTCCCAATTCAAACATCTATCCCTCCTCACTACAGCGCACATTAACTCCTATAGGAAGTTGGACAGAGTAAGTGTTGATTAATCTGAAATTATAAAATATCATGATTAATCTTGATTATGAAATATCACAGAGAAATTTCCCCCAGCAGATAACCAAAGTACAGATTCTTAAACATCTCTCTTGCCAGCTAGTTTTGGTTCTTCCCACAAAGATTACAGATAACACTTTTTAGGATCTCTTAGGTGTTCTTACCATTTTTAGTCTTCTTCCAAAATGAAATATAGAGGTCCGGTTGAAGAGAACAGAGCATGAGAGGCGTCAAGATCAGCCTGAGATGGGCCCAATAGCATCAACTAAGATAAAGAGAAAACACAAAACTTTAGATTTCAAAGACAATAAAGTCCCGGAGCTTCAAAACTCGCCAAGAACATTACTCTAAAAGGTTCTATTGAAAACACCTATTAATAGTATTTACTTCCTCAAAGTTATATAGACTAGAGACATACTCTGTACTTTTTAATATTATTACAAGTCTGACTTTTTCTTCGAAGAATTGACATTTTAGACTACCAAAATTTTTCTTTAGATTCTAAAAATTCTTTGCATATGATATGGGTTCTCTCACATCCCCTCCCCGCTCCCTGAGAACAGCTCATATATCTAGTTGTTTAAATTATCCAAATTTCTCCCAATGTTTAAAATACCTTTCTTGGTTGCATGGAGTGATTCTATGTCTGGAATCTGCTGAGATGAAGAGACGGGCTGCAGGAAGCATGGAGTCACAGAAACTCCAGGCTGCCAGCCCTGGAGTTCACAAGTGCAAAGACAAGGTTGGGGGGTAGGGGGAGGAGCCTGACTATTGAAGCCACCCCAGACATGAGATTTGCAGAAGCACCAGGTTCCTCTTATTTCTGCACCATATTTGGGGCAATGTCTTATCTAAATCCAAACAACCTGGAAGACTGATCTTCCTCTTTTTTATAGGCAAGTTTCTCAATCTCAGCACTATTAATATTTCTGGTGAGATAATTCTTTGTTGCATTGTAGGATGTTGAGCAGCATCCCTGACCTCTACCCACTAGATACTAATAGTACTGCCCCTTCCAATTATGACAATCACAGATGTTTCCAGACACTGCAACATATTGCCTGGGGGGCAAAAGCACCCCAAGTTGAGAACCACTGTTCTGTAGATATCTTAAAGACATGTCTAAATTTCCCCTTCTGTCTTAGGCCCAGCTGAAAGGGACTCTTGTTTTTAAGCAGTGGCAAAACTTCCAGTTGGTTCACTTGCTCAGTTAAAAAAGGTCAGCTGCACTTGCAGACTACTGTCATATAAAGCCTTGCTACTCAAAGTGGGGTCCCCAAGAGGATTGTTCCCTTCTTAACTGGTTATTGGGGACTTTTGTAGGTAGAGTCAAAATATTAGTAGTTCATGTTTAAAGTTCTTTCGTCCACCTAGTCGACCTGGAGAGAATTTGAAAAATGCGAAGTTTGGCGTGGGGAAATCAGCTGATAATGATCAGGGTTAATATACTGGATTGAAAAATCAATGGTGTCCCAGACCAGCTGAAAAACTATTAGATACAATAATAATAGGTGATCTTTACTGAGGGCTTGTTATGAGCCAGACACCCTTTTTACTGCTTTATAGGTATTATCTCATTAAATACTAAAAAAAAATATGAAGTAAATATCTTATTATCTTTTTAAAAAAAATCATAGAATTAATGCAGGAAAGATATTGGACTTCCCCCAGGTCACATACCATGTAAGTGATATTCACACAGGCAGTAAAAATCAAACGCCTTCCTATCAAACCACTCTGCTATGCAAACAGGTAAAAATCAACAGCTTTCTCTCATATAAACAATAACGGATCCAGATTGGCAATGGAACGAGAGATCCCATTCAAAATAGTCACAAAAATATAAAATACTAGGGAAGAAAATTGACACAAAATGCTTAGGAATGAAGGAGGTGGTGGGAGGGTGGACTGTAATGCTTTACTTAGCTCGCTGCAGGCTTTCTACTTGCCCTTCCAGACCCACCCTCCATGCCTTTCCACCTGCTCTGTGTCCTGGGAGACTAAACTGTTTGAATTTCATCAACAGCTGGCAGGCTTCTGGTTGGGTTTGGACAGTGGAGAGAGAGGTCAGGGCATTTTTCCCCCTGGCTCCCTCCCTTTGCAAAGCTGTGGGTTGCCTATGATTGGAAGTCAATTGTACTGTTTAGTACTAAGAGACTGCAACCCTCTAATGAAGCTCTTGTCAGGTGATGCTCTCCTCATGGTCATTCTTCCTGAATTCCAGTGCCTTCTTCTTGCCATTTTAGACCTGGGGTTGTGAATACTCCCCTGGAAGTGCTACACCATCCTTTTTGATTTCCCTAAATCCTGTCCAAACTGTCATTAATAGTCACTTTGATACACTCATCAATTTCTTACTTTGAGTTTGCCACCTGTTTCCTGCCAGGACCCTTGAGGATGCAAAGACATATGTAAATGAAGGGAAATATATTGTTATTAGGGCTAGAGGCCGCAACTCTATAAAAAATGGAAATCTTGCTTAAATTGATTTGTAAACTCTGTGCAATCCCAATCAAATACCAAAAGGATTTCATGAGTAACTTGCCAGATTGAGTCTAAACTGGGGAGCAGATTCTATACTGGGGGGCATTTTGGAAATCAGTTGGGTATTAATGTTGCATTGCCTGCAAAGCATACTACCAGCACATTGATGAAAGAAGACAGATATCAGAATTAAGTAAAGGCACATATGGGACATTAGTTTAAAATCTCATCAATGACAAAAGGAATTATGATAATAATGAGCAATTGGCTTAAAGTTTAGAAAAAATTAAGCTATAGTCCTACCTCATTTCTTACATCAAAATTAACTTCAGATGGTTCAAAAATTTAGATATAAGACATTGAACATTAAAAGTACTAGAAGAGGGTCCAGCCTGGTGATAGTGGTTAAGTTTGCGTGCTCTGCTTCGGCAGCCCGGGGTTCATGGGTTCGGATCCCAGGCATGGACCTATGCACCGCTCATCAAGCCATGCTGTAGTGGCGTCCCATATACAAAATAGAGGAAGATGGGCACAGATGTTAGCTTTTTGCTGAGGAATATTAGCACAGAGGCCAATCTTCCTCAGCAAAAAGAGGAATATTGGCAACGGATGTTAGCTCATGGCCAACCTCCCTCACCAAAAAAAAAAAAAAAAAAGTACTAGAATAAACCATAGATAAATGTTTTTATAATCTCGAAGTGGGAAAATCATTCTAAGTATGATGACAACAACAAACAAAAAACCAACAGTAACAACCTCGGAGTCTGAAAGAAAACATTGAAAAATTTACTAAAAAGTAAATCTGCTTACTCATCTGTAAAGTGAGGGATGAGGCTGTGTGTGGTCACTGAAGACACATCCAGGTTTTATATGGTAAGATCCTGAGAGATGATGATACTACACATGTTGCTTATTGAGTATGCTTTCTTGTATTGTTATTTATCTTTGATTCATATCTCCTAGCTCCCCAATGACATTACAGATGCCTTGAGTTAAGAATGCACTGCCCCCAGCATCTTGTCCACAGTAGGTACTTAAAAAATCATTCTTTATAATGATGAAATGAAAGTGATCATGAAAATAAGAACAATTCAATTAGATCAATTTTAAGAGGAAGATCATTAAACAGATTAATCAATTGAAGTGACTAGTCATCTGATTAGTTTCATCAGCTGTTTGAATTAACCAGGAATTTAGGCAAGTGTGGCTTGTCTAGTAGTCAAGCGTAAATACAGCCTATGTTTCCTTATGCAAAAGATACTAAGTCCTCTTCAATCCATGTGCTGAATTCAGTAGCAGAGTGGTTACTGATTTTCTAATAACTGATATTGTATCATTCTACTTCAACTTCAATTATATTAACAGCCTGTTTGTTTTATCTTTTTCTTCCCAACATTTGTTTGCACTTTTTATATTTATTATTATTATTATTATTATTATTATTATTATTAATTTTGGTGAGGAAGACTTGCCAACCTTCCCCTTTTTGTTTGAGGAAGATTAGCCCTGAGCTGACATCTGTGCAAATCTTCCTCTTTTGTTTGCTTGAGGGAGATTAACCCTGAGTTAACATCTGCACCAATATTCCTCTATTTTATATGTGGGATGCCACCACAGCATGGCTGACGAGTAGTGTATATCCACCCCTGGGATCTGAACCCACAAACCTAGGCCACCAAAGCGGAGCACGCGGAACTTTAACCGCTATGCCACGGGGCTGGACCCCCAACATTTTTATTTTGAAAAATTTCAGATATGTAGAAAAGTTGAAAGAATTGTACAATGTAACCTGTAGACCTGCTGCCTAGGTGCAATAACTGTTAATATTGAGCCACGTTGGTTTACCACTTTGTATGTGGATATAGATGTATATATATATTTTTCTTAATCATTTGACAGTTGCGGACAACATGAGATTTTACCTCAAACACTTAGGCCTATATCTCCTAAAATAAGGGTGACACCTAAGAGAATTAATAATAAATCCATAATATCATCTCATATCGATTTTATATTCAAATTTCCCCCAATTTGTCCCCAAATCATCCTTTATAGCTTTTTTTTCTGATTCAAGAGCCACTCAGTATTCACACAGTGAATTTGGTTATGTCTGGGTAATATCTTTACAATCTTTCTTTGTATAAAAACTTGTTTTAATGTATGATATTACCCCCCAAAAGTGACTTTAAGCTCTGTGACAAAAACATTCTCCTAAATGGCAGACCTGTATTTCCAGTTATGTGCTAGACTGTTTTATATGTTCAAAGAGGGACATATTCTTCTAGATCAAAGCCCTAAGATTTCGAAACATTGATGTGTAAAGCTGAAAAAAGTTTAAAAACAAAAAAACACAAAAAAGGTCACACTGCCATGTAAAATTTACAAGAATTTTCTGTCTCCTTAGAGATTGAGGCAGTGAAATTTGTTGTATTCTTTGTTCCTTTCATTTTTCTTCTTTCTGTTTCTCTTTCTCTCTCTGAAAACATTTTGAATGGGGCTTCAAGTTAGGCAAATATAAGGCAAGGCAATAGCTTTGCAATTTTTTCTTTAATGTTAATAGAAAATACACAGTCATGAGGCAAGAACTCTTATGTATAGTAAATAGAAAAAGAAAGAAAGAAGAGAAGGGAGATACACTGAATGGGACTTTTAGTTAGGCAAATATAAAGTAAAGGACCTTCATTATTCTTTTACTTTTATAGATAATATATATTCATGTGGTACAGAACTTTTATATATACAATCATGAGCCGCATAATGACATTTCAGTCAACAACGGACCTCATACACGATGGTGGTCCCATAAGATTAGTATCATATAGCCTAGGTGTGTAGTAGGCTGTACTATCTAGGTTTGTGTAAGTGCACGCTGTTATGTTTGCAGAAAGACAAATTCACCTAATGAAACATTTCTCAGAATGTAGTCCCGTCGTTAAGCAGCACATGACTATATATATGTATAGAGAGAGAGAGAAAGAGAAACTGTGTCAAGGGTCCCCAAGAGCACCCAAGGTTTAGTGATTCACTAGGAGGACTCACTGGCCTCAGTATATCACAGCTCTGATTCGTTACAGTGGAAGGATACAGAGCAAAATCAGCAAAGGGAAAAGATACATGGGGTCACGATGGCAGGAAACCAGACACAAGCTTCCAGAGTCCTCCTCCAGTGGAGTCCCACAGGATGCACTTAACTTCCCCAGCAACCAGTTGAGAAAACACATGTA